TTTACGTTCAGGCGACTGATGATGCTATTACTTAAGAACTTGAAAAACGTGGGGGTATATGGTGATGATCTCGTCATATACAGTCAAAACGAAAACGATCACGTCAACCATGTAGAAGCCGTGCTGCGACGCATCGAAGGGTTTGGACTACGCGTCAACAAAACCAAGTCCCAGATAGCCAAAAAGAATGTTACTCTGTTGGGACATAAAGTGGGAAATAGTGAGATTAAACCACTACCGGAGAAAATTTTGACGATTAAAACGATTCCAGCCCCGAATTCAAAGAGAAAACTGAGACAATTCCTGGGTAGAGCAGAGTTTTATAGTCGCTTCGTGAAGAACTTCAATGAGATAGCAGCCCCTCTATACAGGCTACTAGGGGAGCCAAAGTTTGTTTGGTCGGAAGAATCGCAGAGGACATTCGACAGAATTAAACAGCTGCTCGACCACCAACAAATGACGCTAAAACTACCTGTACCTGGAAGACAGTTCACAGTGTGCACAGATGCCAGTGACTACGCTATAGGTGCGGTCCTAAGACAGGACGAGGGAATCGTTGAGTATGCCAGTAGGGTTTTGACGCTCACAGAGAGAAAGTATTCAACGATAGAGAAAGAATGTTTAGCAATGGTACGGGCAGTCGACAAATGGAGACATTATTTACTCGGCCGGCGGTTCCACATCGAAACTGATCATAAGCCGCTACAATTTTTGAAGACAGCGAGAGACCCACGGGGGAAGTTGTCACGGTGGATGTTGCGTCTTCAGGAGTACGATTTTACGATCTCACACGTTCCTGGAAGTGAAAATGTCTTGGCAGATTTGTTATCGGGACCAGAAGATGAGTCTGAGTTGCCCGAGGTCGCTTACGGAGTGCATGCAGTAGAACAAGACCCACTAAGACTTGCACGCAGGCAGAGGTTGGACGATACGCTGAATACAGTAATACAGGTGATCACCAACGGAGTAGAAGTGGATCAAACTACGGCGAGTAAGGAGCTAACCACACTACTCAGACAGAGGGATCGACTCAGAGTGAATGCCTACGGGACTCTGACCTGGCGAGAGAACGACGGAAGCTGGCTGGCTGTCATACCTCAATCGTCGCGCCACGACATGATAGAAGAATGTCACCAGCTAGCGCATACAGGCGTGGCCAGAACGACCGACCTCCTAAGACAAAGTATGTACTGGCCAGGTATGAGAGAAGACGTAGCAAGATACGTACTTGGATGTCCACGGTGCCAGCTGATGAAAGGTGACCGGTGTATACGACCACCACTTCAGTCGATTCCAGTTACCGCGATAGGTGACTTGTGGTCCGTAGATGTCATGGGTCCATTTCCTCAGACATCCAATGGTAATCAGTACCTCTTGGTGATGACGGAACACGCGACACAATGGGTAGACGCCGTAGCAATCCCAGACCAACGTGCAAGAACCGTGACAGATGCAGTAGTTAAACACATTGTTGCAGACCACGGCGTACCAAAGACAATACTGACAGACCAAGGTCCCTGTTCCGAGAGTGAAGAGTTTACTTCCCGTTTGCAACAGCTGGGCATCAAGAGGATCAGAACGACCCCATACCATCCACAAACGAATGGCCTAACGGAGAGAAACAACCGTACACTGAAGGAGTGGCTGGCCTCGAAGGGCGGTAACTGGGAAACGGAACTTCCACTGATTTTACTGACACATCGTGCTACCACTCAGGAAACAACGAAGAAGTCACCCTTCCAACTGATGTATGGTAGAAAACCACGATTACCAATACACAACGAGACCTGGCCTCGTCACCAAAAATGGAGTACGACGAAATTAAAAGCAGAGCGGAAAGAAGCAGTCAAGAATGTAATGAAGAAGCAGCGGAGTGACGTCGCGAAGTCTCAGCTGAAAAGAAAGACTCAGTGCAATATCTTTGCAGTCGGGGACCAAGTGAAGTGTAGAGACAAAAGATATACAGTTGGATGCGGGCCAGGTTCACGAAAACTCCTTCCAAAGTGGGAAGGACCGTACACAATCACAAAAAGACGGGGTCAAGTATATACCATCCAAAGAGGTGATAAACAGAAACGAGTTAACGCCAGTCAGCTTCAAAGATGGGTACAGTGGGACAAGCCGGTCAGTAACAATCCTCAACTAGAGGATGTAGCACCCAAAAGGTCGAAACATTAGTGAAACAATCTCGGAAAAAAATGGCACTATAATTAGCTCCCAGGATAGACGACTGGATCGTTGGAAAGAGCATTATGAGGAGCAGTTTAATTGGTCCACAGCCACGCTTAATCTGCCGAACATCCAACCCCTCCCTGAATGGGATATAGACACAGGTCCTCCATCCCTAAATGAGGTTACTAAAGCTGTCACCAATCTAAAACTAGGCAAAGCAGCGGGACCTGATGGAATGACTCCAGAGGTATTTAAGTACGGTGAAGACAGCTTACTGTCTGCATTAACTGAGGTACTAGGCAGCGTCTGGGAATCAGAAGAAGTCCCATCGGGTTGGTGTAAGTCATCGATTATCCCCATATACAGGAAGGGAGACAAGTCTTCCTGTGATAACCACAGAGGGATTAGCTTGACTAATATAGTATCTAAAGTCTTAGGCTCAATAATCATGCGTAGACTAAGTGGTGCTCGGGAAGCACAAACACGAGAGAGCCAGGCAGGCTTTAGACCAGGAAGAGGGTGTATTGATCATATCTTCACCCTCCGACAGATTCTAGAACATAGGCATTCCTACCGGCGTCCAACAGTCATTATATTTCTTGACCTAAAGGCGGCATTCGACTCTGTCGATCGAGAAGTTCTCTGGAGATGCTTGGCTGTAAAGGGAATTCCGAGAAAATATATTGCACTGATTAAGGCACTCTACTCGTACTCATACAGCAAGGTGAGGGCTTACGGCGAGCTGTCATCTGAACTGATGACGACCAGTGGTGTCCGTCAAGGTTGCCCATTATCCCCTTTTCTATTCAACTTCATCATAGATGTGTTAATGGACTTAACCCTTAGTGACTTCAGCGATTCAGGGATTGACTTGCTACCTGGGAATAATCTCGTTGACTTGGAATATGCAGACGATATAGTCCTTCTAGGCGAAGACGCTGACGAAATGCAGAGTCTTCTGAACACCTTGAGCTGTAATCTACGAATGTTTGGCATGCGATTCGCTCCCGCCAAATGCAAGATGATGTTACAGGACTGGACTACATCGACGCCTAGTTTAAAAATAGGAAGTGAAGTGGTAGAGCACGTTGACCGCTTCACTTATTTGGGAAGTACCATCAGCCAGCGCCAACGGGTTGATCTCTGACGAAATCTCAGCACGAATACAGGGGGCCCGTTTCGCATTTGCCAGTTTACGCCAACTCTGGCGTAGACGAGATGTTCGACTATCGACCAAAGGGCGGGTGTATTGCTCATCAGTCCGCTCTGTCCTCCTTTATGGTTGTGAAACCTGGCCACTCAGAGTGGAAGACATGAAAAGACTAGCTGTCTTTGATCATAGGTGCCTGCGCTCTATTTCCCGTGTAAAGTGGCATAATAAGGTGAGCAATATTGAGGTTAGGTATCGAGTTCTAGGTAAACAGGGGAAATCAATCGACGAAGTCGTGAAGTTACAAAGACTGAGATGGTTAGGACATGTGTTACGTATGCCAAGCCATCGCCTCCCTCGACGAGCAATGTTAGCGGATATAGGGTCAGGCTGGAAAAAAGCTAGCGGCGGTCAAACAAAAACTTGGCACCAGTCAATGAAATCCACAACAGTTGGTCTAAGCCATGTAGGAAGGTGTAGACTTCCAAGCTGGGGTTCTCGGGATGGTAAAAATCAATGGTTGGAAACAATTGGTGACATGGCTCAAAACCGTTCTCAGTGGCTGGTGCAGATTCATCCACTCCTTGTGACTTATGATTACCAATGAAACTGTTTTGTTCTTCGTTATTACTCCTCCTTTGTCTCACACCTCTGCTCACTGTTTCGATTATGCTTTTCTTGTACTTTCTTCTCTTGTTTCGCGTGCTACACGGAGTGTGGCGACTTGAACTTCCGCACATTTGTGCGAAGTTCTATGTCGAAAACAGACAGACAGACAGACGATGACACAATACACAATTCTGGCAGTTCTGAATAAAAATTGACATCTAACTGATGAGAGGTATTTTCCCTACAAAGCATTTGGTAAATCAAGTTTGATCATGAACTGAAATCAATAAGGGAACTGTTAGAAAATCAGCATGCAGTACTGGATAACTGTTTCGTTCCCTCAATTTAGGGACCCTTCATCAGCATCCATCCTTCCACAGCCAGGGTTCGAACCCAGGACCTCCCTGCTGACAAGGGGAACCTCGTAGACCAATCAGCTATTAGCATTCGATACAATGTTTGGCTCTTTTCTCTAGACAGGAAACAATATTATGATGCAATCCAGCAGTAGCATCTAAAGTACATCTCTGCCCAGTTTACATGCAAACTGTTAAAAGAGTCGCAAAAATATCCACTAATACACTTGGGTCAAGAGGCTGAACATTTCGATCAACGTTGATTCAATTAATCGACGTTGTTTTTAAACACTCAGATTTTTCTGAGTAAAAATTAAAAACAAAACAAAATAAAAAAAGAGAACACTACATAACATTTTGAAAAAAAAGTCAAGCGCTACACAGCTGAATATAGCTTGAAAATATAAACACACAAAAATAGTTTTTATTTAGAGAAAAATTTTATTCTTGTACGTTCCTAGTGGAACATATAGGGCTTTAAGCTACAGCTCTGAAGTTTCGGTAGCAGTAGTGTTTTTTTACGGGGAAAGGTTGTTAGCCTCACGCCAAACCTTTCCTCTTTACCAGTCTTATTACTGGCTTAGTGAGAAATAAAGGAGTGCGTCTGCGACCGGAGATCGAACTCCGGACCACATGGGGCGTGGTTGGCGACCATTCTACCCCGCTGTGCTACCGAAGCACACAAAAATAAAAAATGAGAAGATAATTCTTACCGTTTAAATCGATGGGATTATTGACTATTTGGATTGATGAATCAGTTAGTGTTACATTATTGTCCTCTTCTGATTCATCCATCTTATTATGTTTAGCCTTTAGATGCCTTTCTAGAATATCGGCAACTTTGAATGCTAAAGGACAATAAGGGCAGGGGAATGATTTTTCATTAGTATGACGAAATAAAATATGACGTTCCAGAGCTAAAGTAAGTTTTGAAAAACAAAAAATATTAAGGTGAAAAAAAGTTGTTAAGAAGAATCCAGATTGATTAATTATTTTTTAATAAGAATAGCATTCATTCCTCCATTCATTCTTAACATGAAATTGTAGGAATTTGGTTGGTTACAAGATTTCATTATGAGCTGACATTGGTTAGAGAACCATTGGGAAACCTGGGAGTACTGGACAGCTATTTCGTCTACCTAGTTCGGGACTCTTCAGCAAGTACGTACCCACCGGGGTTCGAACCCAGGACCTTCTCGTTAGAAGGCGAGCTCATATACCATTAAGCCACTGGGACCAGATACAATGGCCCATGAATTCTAACTTCTGCCAATTCATGACATAGCGCGACTCCAGGTTTTCCAATGGTTCCCTCACCAACGTCAGCTTATGATGAAATCCTGTAAGGTAAAAATTGTTTTATATCTATTGTACGAACTATCATCCATAGTTACACTTGATAAGCGGCTCCAGACATGAGAACCCAGTAATTAACTGTGTATATATTTATAGGTATGCTTTGTAGAACTACTTAAATTGAAGCAAAAAGGTTAAAAAAACAGCATTAGCAACCCAGAAACAGTCTACAGAAGTTAGAATTCTCAGGTAATTGAATACCAATCCAGGTGGCTGAAAGGTCAATGTACTGACCTCATAAGTTGAAGGTCCTGGGGGTTCATTCCATGGTGGGGTCGTAGGTGCGCACTTTTGAACAGCCTTAAACTAGGCTGACAAACTTATCCAATGCTACCCCCCTGGTTTCCACAGATTCTCTACGTAGTATTGGTGTTCATGACGAAATCTAAATTGAAACATTTCAGAGTTATAAAAAAACACTAAACCTGAATACTGAAGTACACATAACAACTAAAAATGCATAAAGGGATGTGGTATGCAAGTACGGCTAAATCAGTGATATCAAGGATTCATTTTAAAAGAAAATAATGACATGAAACGTATTTCGTCACTACATTGATCCAATCTTTTGGGTGGGTGCGTACTGCTGAAGAGTCCTAAACTAGGACGAAACAGCTGTCAGTACTCCCAGGCTTTCCAATGGTTCTCTAACTAATGTCAGCTGATGATGAAATCTTGAAACCAATCAAATCCCTACAAACCATCACTTGAATACCAATCTCTTGGGTGTTTCATGTTACCCTCGGACGCATCCAATTCATTGTTTCTTATGCATGTTTCATTCGGGCCACGGCATGGCTTGAGATGTCATCGAACGGTCCCTTCTGAGTATGTCCCATCTCTTTGCATTCTCTTCCGAATATTTGTGTTCTTCAAGAAACACATTCATCAACCTGAAACCAATCTGGAAAACCAATCTTCGTCACTCAGTATCAACAAAAAAATCCAGTTGGATTTTCAATACAAACGTCAAGTCAGTCAGTTCTTCTATACGGATCAGAAACTTGGCGAGCGGGTCACAAACAATATTTCCAACAGCCTGTTGCGATGCAGACCTTTATCAACCAACAACTGTCTTCGCCGGATCTATACTGAAGATGAGATGGCCGGGCCGGGCTGGAAAGAATCACCAACAAGAAACTATGGGAATAAACAAAACAAAAGCCAATCGCCAGCCAACAAATATGCAGGAGAAATCGAAGATGGATTGGACACTCACTGAGGAGGCCGCCGGGTGACATCGAGCGTCAGGCCATCGCTCGGTGGAACCTGAAAGGGAAGCGGCGAGTTGGTCGTCAGTGCAAGTGTGACATGGAGGAGATCGTGTGAAGAGGAGTTAAAACAGTATGGACTAACATGGATGCAGGTGAAAAGGACAGCAGAAGACAGAAGTGGCAAGTGGAGACGTGCAGTTGAAGCCCTAGGAACCCAAGGGAACAATAATAATAATAATAGGTTCTTCGTTGGTTGGTTTCCAGTGTTTCTTGTTGCTTATCCTTTCCAGCAATCCGTCTGATTTTCAATATTGAGTGGAGGCAGATGTTGACATATTAAGAAATATGTTGAAAATGCTTTCCACGACGCTCGCTCGAAATCTGTGAACTATATATAAGAGCTGACAGACCTAGTATTAGTGTTGAAAATCCGAATTTTGTTTCTTATGCTGAGTACAGAAGATTTCCACTTATTTCAGATTACCGAAAGTGTGTCTTGTCTTTTAGATCCTGATTGGCTTGACATTCCTCATCCCCACTATTACCTACAGTTGAAAATATGCGATCTGGATAAGTAACGGGTGTGACCACCTCTTTCAAATTTCTTCCGTTGATAGTGATCGATGCTGGGTTGTTGTTACAGTTTGTTTGTTCGTTGGTTGGTTACCTTCACTACCTGCATCTTCTCTATGTTCACCTGAATTCCTATCTTTGGTGCTTCTTCCCAACAGTTTGTTGGTTTTCACCTTTAAGTCCTCGAGTTTGTATAACTTCAGATTTAAATCATCCACGGAGTCCAGGATCTACTGTACTGCCTGCCTTTTAGGCTCCTCACTCACAGTTCCCCACATAATCCAGTCCACCTCAATCAGGAATATTATCAGTGATAGTTGCAGCCTTCTTCGGCTGACTTCTGTCTTCACTTTGAAGGTTTCGTCGAGTTTTACGCTGTGATTCATTTGACATATAGCACTATCATATAGTTTACTGGATGAGGTTATTTAAAGTGTAACCATCTGGGTCCTTCACTATTGGTCTCTTTCCCCCCCCCTTTTTCTCACATTCACTTTGTCCTTTAGTATTTCCATGTAACTGGAGTGTTTACTGTACACTCCAGCAGTTAAACACGTAATTTTCTATAGTTTGGTTTGTAAGGATTAATTTTGTCTTTACGAGTTGACCAAGGATTGATATTAGTTAGAGAACCATGGAAAATCAGTGAGTATCGGACACCTGTTTCATCCTAGTTTGGGAATCATCGGCAGTACGTACGCACCTTTAACCTTCCGGTTACAAGGCAAGCTGGCTCGTATACCATTCAGCCACTGGGACCCGATTCAATGTCCATCAGCTTATGAATTCTAATTTCTATCAATTCGTGATTTATCGCGACTGGCACCAACCAAACTCGTCGGTGGGACATCCATCCTCACACACACGTGACATCTGGATGGACCTCACACTGGTCACGACTTCTCACTAGAACTCCAGGAAACTCCATCCTGTAGCAAGCCACTAATGAGCATTAGATTAATTTTCTATAGTTTGGTTTGTAAGGCTTAGTTTTGAATAAAATTTCACACTCCTAACTATATTTTTAGCAATGAATGAAATGAAACAAAAAGCACCTCGAAATAGTAATATTTAATGATCAAGACTGCACACCTCAATACATAATAAAATAAAATAAAATCGATAACGGGCGCCTCATTGAATGCGGCTTAAAGATTTTAACATGGTAAGGTAAGAAACTGAGTCATAAGAGGGGAGAAGATTAATCAGTGTTAAGACGGTGTGGGTGTGTGCGTGTGTGTGTGTGGGGGGGGGATATCATTGACCAGTGTTTTCTAATGTAAGCATGATGGACTAAATATCAACTTCTCATCTAGATCACGGGAGGTCATGTCAATCCATTGTTATTGGAACACAGCTAATCAATCAATCAGAACACAACTTTCTTAGGCATTATACTTGCGAGTTCAATAGTATTGTAAAATGAATTATATAAATACAGCTATACACTTTCTGGATATTTGCCTTTTCCTACAGCAAATACTGCCTTAACAGTCTGTCCTGTCTTCTCATATAGAGAAGAAGAAGTAGGAAGATTCCTACGTATTTTACAGATGACTTTGAAGTTGATCTGGGGATTAGCTTAAAGTCTCCTTCTCCGACAGCTGTATCCTGGAACACGTGATGGAATCTGGACGCCAAGCTAATCCAAACATCAACTTCAAAGTCATTTACAGAATATGAAGGATTCTTGCTAAAACAGTATGAATCAAACTTCTTCAGACAGTAAAATGATGGTGTTTTTGGTCCCAATCTCTTCATACAGAGGAAGAAGTTTGTTTAGTCACTGAATTTACAATGGACGTCATGTGTTTTAACACCGGATACTCAATTTTCTTCCCTCAAGCCCCTTATTACATTGCAAGGCGTTGTTGTCACTGTTATCAACTTGACTCACATACAATCCTGTCAGTTATGTTGTGGTGAGAGCTGCCTGTTAGTCAAAATTGGTGGACAGTAATTTACGTCAATATTTATGTCCCCAATATTGGTCGTGAGGAAACTGAGAACAAAGGCTTTCCGTAGGCAGATACAGTTAACATATACATGATCTGACATTCAAGAAACAGTGACAAAGAGATGCAAGGTTAACTTTCTGTGAGAAACAACCAATCAGAAAACCATGTTTTTCTGCTCACAGTAATCCATAATATGTACATGAAAATCTATAAATATGTGTTGACTTCCTTAATAAAGGATCTCTTGCCTAGCCCTTGTCTTCTCTTGCTACAATATGACGTCATTCAATTTATCAGGTGTGCGTCGGCAGGGGATCGAACCCCGGACCATGTGCATGGGCACAGCGGTTAGCACTCTCGCCGACCATGCACATGGTCCGGGGTTCAATCCCGTGCCGATGCACACCCGATATCTATGGTCGGCCTGCAAAATTTGGGCTACCGATATCACATGCTGAAAAGTCATTCGAATTACTTATATTTAATTCAGTTACTACCCGAATAACCATTTTGTTTGTTGTCAGGATAAAGAAATGAAGAGTAAATAGGCTATCATCTTTGGACTCTTTCCCATTGACTGTTTGGATCGATGTGTTCGGCTTCAGGTTGATATGTCGGCTCTTTTTGCACAGATAATTCGACGGAAGATGTTTGATTATTTAACTTGAAGTAAATTTGGTGGATAGATTGGTGGCTAGCAGTGGAATCCAGAATGCGCATTTCGGATGTCCTATTTGTGTGACTACTCGTCATTTGGATGTTCCTGAATTCTCCAACCAGTGATAGTCTGTTCTCACTGTCCACTGCTGGTCACCAATTTTTACTTTAAGTTAAAAAATCAGACACCATCGAGACATCTGCACAAGGAGGCAAAATGTCAATCTGAAGCCGAGCAGTGTGGTCCAATCAATCAATGAGGTCCAAAATGAATTATGTAATAACTGACACTCGTTGCCCAAGTGGTTTAGTGGATAATGCTTTGGCGTTTGAAACTATGGGTACTGGGTTAGAAGCTCAATGGGGACAGCACCACTCACTTGAGAGTGCAGGCACATCCAAATGAAGCGTCATACATAGGACAGTCGAAATGCACATTCTGGATTCCAATGCTAATCACCACCCACCACCAATTTACTTCATTAAATGATAGCTGACTAGATAGACAAACAAATTCTTTTCCACAAAGAGGTAAGGAGATCCAAAGCTTATCTACCTGTTAGTTTATAAGAGTACAAACCACAAACGGATGACAAAGGCATCTAGTAAAAGAGATAGAAAATTGGGTAAAACGTGCTATTTGTTATTTACCTGATTTGCCTAAGGCAGTCATATCACAATAGGGACATTTCATTGTATTAATATGCCTTTTCATATGCGTAGCCAATAATCTCTGTGTACTAAACAGTCTTTGACACCGATTGCACTTTACAGGTTTAACTGAATGATGTATATTCACCTTCAAGAAAGAAAATTAAAAAAATTAAAATTGTGACGTGTTCTACTGACAAAATTTATAAGTAGTATATAGATACATATATAAATATGTGTGTATCATCTGTAAGAATATCGAATAGTCGAAAGATAGATTTGATTGTGAAGAAAATAAATGAACGCTGCTTGTGATGAAATAACATGGAAGACGTGAAAGGAGGAAAAAAGTAGCACGATGTCGAAGATATGTGCAAATTGTGATTCGCATATAGGGTGCACGTATTTTGCCTATATTTGTACATTCAATTTTCCAATACTCTTAAAGTCTTTCTGAAAACACTGACAATCTACACGAATTGATCTACCATGGATGAGCCATCTCATACATTGGGATCATAGTAATGACTGAATTCTACCATTAAAGTTTGCAATGTAGTCCCACTTTACGTGAACTTAGAGTGCACGCAGCAATGGCAACATTGCCGACTGACTCTAATAATTCAGCCACCACGGTCACTAAGCACCAGATGTATGAAATTAGTTACGCGTTCAGGTGGCCGGTAACTTTATCCAGTTCAATGCTACAGGAGGTCAATCACGAGGGTTCGAATCTCTGAGAGAATATCACTGTTCCTCCGAAGTGACTGACTGGTATCAACATAGAACTTTGCCCATAAGTGCACCAGTTCAAGTTGTCAAACTCCATATGCCACACATAAGGAGACAAAAGACAGGAAAAAGAGGAGATTCACAAGAACAATAATAAGCAGGTATGTGAAGGAGGAAGATTAGTAATAAAAGGAAAAAACATGAGGGTTACATGGATAGTGGGAGATCGTAAGTATTGAATGCATCTTCGTCAATGACAGCGATTTTGAACCATATTACCGACTGTTTCTAGCCATTGGTTCTTGAAATCCCAAGGACGCCTACCAGGAAGCCTAAACTTCTCTAAGTGACTGGCTAAAACTAGCTGTTAAAGAGTCCATGGACTGGCTCCGAATTAACTTTATCATATGAAAAAGAGAAGACGTTCAGCGAAGAGAATCTTTTCGCCGGCGAATTCATTCACATAGCTGTACAATCGCATCTATATATAATTATTTGTGTGTGTGCGTACATGAGGTTTGTTCAGTTTAGATACTTGATCAGGTAATAAAAGAATGATCTAATATAGGAACAAGGTTAATCAGACAGCAACCAAAATAAGATTGAGATAGTAAGTTAGATGACGGAATATAATTGACTAAAATACCTTCGAAATCTATAAGAGATATGTTGACGACACTTCCATTATCGTCAACAATGAAGAAAATCTAGACGACATCTTGAAGTCGTTTAACAACTGCCACCCCGCGATTCAGTTCACGCTGGAGAAAGAGTCCAACTCCAAAATATCCTTTCTTGACGTCCAATTAACAAGACGAGAACAGGATGGAACACTGAGAAGATCTATCTACAAAAAGTCAACGTGGAACGGACAGCTTGCTAACTTTCACAGTTGGGTACCCCTATACACCAAACGAAACCTGATCCGTTCACTCAGCTACAGAGTTCTCAGAATTTGCACCCGGGACACCATAGAAGATGAACTGGACAATCTTAAGAGAACAAACAAGTTCAGCGAAGAGTCTCTTTTCGGCGAATTCATTCTCTTAGCTGTACAGTCGCAAATATATACAATTAATTTTGTGTGTGTGTACATAAGGTTTGTCAAAATCAAAATTAAAATAACAGTTAGTGTGGGTTATTGATTACATCATCAAAATAATAAAGAAATTAAATTGTGTGAATAGTAATCAAAGTTGTAACTAAGTAGGGTGAGGAATGGTAAGATGTGAGTAGGGTTACGTCATCAAAATAATATAGAAATTAAAATGTGTGATTAATAATCAAAGTTGTAACTAAGTGGGGTGAAAATTGGTAAGATGTGAGTAGGGTTACGTAATATAGACATGTTTAGAAAGATTAGATGTTCGTGAAGGAGTATGGAGACAATTATGAAAATAAACTAGATAATAGGTGACCACTTCCATGTGTATCTACCGATTCACCTGCTCTTGCGGAGCGAGGTATATAGGTCGTTCGATGCGAGTTTTATCTAAAAGAGTTCAAGAACACTATCCCGCCTGGCTACGGAAAGGTAACAATGGAGCAATAAGGAGCGCCATTATTGAGCATGTACTCAACACTGGTCATTCGATTTGCAAGGAGAAGTCATTCAAAGTCATCTATAAAGTCAAAAGAAGCCTTCCAAAATCGACAAGCTTCCGTATACTTTGTATTGCCGAAGCCTTAGCGATTTGGATAGAAAAGCCTGAATTATGCACACAGAAGAAACTTCTCCACCCCCTCCTACTACCGTGGGTTTAATTTCAAGTTCATCTGTCATCAACATTTTGTTATCAAAATTTTTTGCAATATTCGTATAATAATTTTTAGTAACTAACCCATTCAATCTTTTCACCTATTATCTAGTTTATTTTCATAATTGTCTCCATACTCCTTCACGAACATCTAATCTTTCTAAACATGTCTATATTACGTAACCCTACTCACATCTTACCAATTTTCACCCCACTTAGTTACAACTTTGATTATTAATCACACATTTTAATTTCTATATTATTTTGATGACGTAACCCTACTCACATCTTACCATTCCTCACCCTACTTAGTTACAACTTTGATTACTATTCACACAATTTAATTTCTTTATTATTTTGATGATGTAATCAATAACCCACACTAACTGTTATTTTAATTTTGATTTTGACAAACCTTATGTACACACACACAAAATTAATTGTATATATTTGCGACTGTACAGCTAAGAGAATGAATTCGCCGAAAAGAGACTCTTCGCTGAACTTGTTTGTTCTTATTTCAATGTCTTAATGGGTATTTTTCGCGAATCTTAAGAGAATCCTTGTCGAGAATTGTTATTCAGAAAGATTTACCCAGCGTTCGCTTTCCAAACGGATCACCGAACACTTACCAACATGGTTTTACAAAGGAGAAAAACGATGCCTCCACAGCTCCACCTTAGAACATCTGATAGATTCCGGACACCAAGCTACATCGTAAACAAACTTCAAAGTCGTCTACAGAGTAAGAAGTAGTCTTCCTAAAGGTGTACGAATCAGACTTCTGCAAACTGCAGAAGCAATGGCGATTCACTTGCTAAGTGCTGAACTCTGCATACAGAAGAAGTTCGTTCAGTCACTACACTTACAATGGACCTAATATATCTTACTACCCGACAAGTAAATTCTACCCAATCTTTTTTTATTTCTCTCACTTCATTAGTATTATTTTGTCTTCTCAATTGTAATATTTTGCATTTTCAACTTTCTTGTTCTCTATCCCCACCCGATTTAATTTCTAGATCTCACTACCACAGATACTGACTTGACCAACGCTCAATTTCTAGTCATTTATGTTACGTCATCCAATTTATTTGCTCAATTTCCGTTCTAATTTAAATGGCATTATTATCGACTCCACTTCTACTTAGTTTCTACCTGTAATTACCTCTGTTGCTACCCTGAACATTTAGTGAATTATATTACGTCATCTAACTTACTATCTCAATCTTATTTTGGTTGCTGTCTGATTAACCTTGTTCCTATATTAGATCATTCTTTTATTACCTGATCAAGTATCTAAACTGAACAAACCTCATGTACGCACACACACAAATAATTATATATAGATGCGATTGTACAGCTATGTGAATGAATTCGCCGGCGAAAAGATTCTCTTCGCTGAACGTCTTCTCTTTTTCACATGACTCAATTGGGATTTTCAAGCCTTATATATATATATATATATATATATATATATATATATATATATATATATATATATATATAACAACCACTAGTCATTATTAACGGAAGGAATTTGAAAGAGGTCACTTTCTTCACTTATCTAGACACCACCGTTTCAACTACAGACGACAGAACGGATGAAAATGTCGAAACCGGAATGGGAAAGACAAGACAGACCTTTATCGACCTGATGAAATCAGTGTGAAAATCTTCTTCACTCTGTCAGCACATAAAGCATAAACAACAGAATTCAGATTTTCAACACAGACAGTAATCAAATCAGTAATCCAATTATCTGTCTGTTTTCGACATAGAACTTTGCACCGATGTTCAGCAGTTTAAGTCGCCACACTGCCTCCAGGTAGCACACAAAACAAGAGAAGAAAGTAGAAGAAAAGAATAATAGAGACAGTAAACAGAGGTGTGAGACAAAGGAATAGTAATAACGAAGAACGATATAGATTAGTTGGTAATCATAAGTCACAGAAAGTGGATGCATCTGCGCCAGCCATTGAGAACTGTTGTGATGAAACCATATTTTGGTTTGACCGAGGCTAGCTCTTTTCCAGTCGGACACTATGTCAGTTAACATTGCCCATTGTCGCGGAAGGTGATGACTAGGCTAGGCATACGTAACACAAGTCCTAACCTTCTCAGTCGATGTAATTTCACAGACTCGTCAATTGATTTCCCCTCCCACCTTCCTAGCACTCGGCGCCTAACCTCAATATTGTTGACCTTATTATTCTACTTCACACGGGAGACAGCTAATCTTTTCATGTCTTTCACTCTCAATGGTCAGGTCTCACAGACATAAAGGAGGACGGAGAGGACTGATGAGCAATACACACGCCCTTTGGTCAATAGCCAGCCGGATATCACGCCTACGCCAGAGACGGCGTAAACAGGAATATGCGAAACTAGTCCTCTGTATCCGTACTGAGATTTCGTCAGAAATCAACCCGTTGGCGTTGGCTGATGGTATTTCCCAAATAAGTGAGGCGGTCAACATGCTCCACCAACCACTTCACTCCCTATTTCTAAACTAGGAGTCAGTGTAGTCCAGTCCTGTAGCCACATCATCTTACATTTGACGGCAGGAGCGAATCGCATGCCAAACATTCGTAGATTGCAGCTCAAGGTGTTCAGAAGACTCTGCTGGATTTTGTCAGCGTCCTCGCCCAGAAGACAGGACTATATCATCTGCATATTCTAAGTCAACGAGATTATTCCCTGGTAGACATGCAGCTAAAACAGTACTTACATATCCAAGTGAGATTTACGGGATTAATTTTTTCACTACAGTGTAAATAATGTACCCCGTTTCCCAACAAAATAGACGAAAATAACCACCACACGAATACATGATGATTCACGTTGCTACAGTAACTGATTAAAGCTATTTATAACTTGAACTTTGATCTATAACACGGGTGGTCTTAATAATATTTATGAGTTCTGCTCCTACTGAAACAACCTGAAATTTTACCAGGGGTACAGTAGCTAATTCCTCTTACTCTAATTTAATGTCGACTAGTGTCCAACGGTACAAGCGAAAACCGACAAACTGGTCGAAGAAGCAGCAAAGGCAGGACTCCAGGTCAACATAGACAAGACAGAGGTTATGAAAATAACCAACAACAACAGCAACATCCAGCGCCAATTGTTAATGCGAAGAAAATATTTCTATATTTCTTGATGTGCTCCATTGAATGACTAGATATCATATTGTTCTCACAAACCAAAGACAAAAACGTCAGCAACCATGTAATTTAACCATAAACCAAATTTATGTAATTTAAATAATACTTATCCATGCCTGTACATTTGGTGTGTCCTACACAGGTAGGAAAAATATGCATTTTATTAAATTATTATTAAATTTGCTTACTAATAGTATATGTAATTCATCATATTGATGATGCCTGTAAACTGGCGTCCCTCATGTACAAAATGAGAATATATTTATCAACGGGAGGGGTTTGAAAGAGGTTACTTTATTCACTTGTCATCTAGGGAGCATTGTCTCAACTACAAGAGGAACGGACGAGGATGTCAAATCCAGAGAGAATCGGGAAGATGAGAAACACATTCATCAACCTGAAACCAATCTGGAAATCTTCGTCACTCAGCATCAACAACAAAATTCGGATTTTCAATGCAAACTGTCTGTCTGTTTTCGACACGGAACTTTGCACATATGTGCGGAAGTTCAAGTCGCCACACTCCGTGTAGCACGCGAAACAAGAGAAGAAAGTACAAGAAAAGAATAATAGAGACAGTAAGCAGAGGTGTGAGACAAAGGAATAGTAATAACGAAGAACAATAAAGTTTCACTGGAAATCATACGTCACAAGGAGTGGATGCATCTGCGCCACTGAGAACGATTTTGAGCCATGTCACCAATTGTTTCCAACCATAGATTTTTACCGTCCCGAGGACCCCAGCCTGGAGGTCTACACCCTCCTACGTGGCTTAGACCAACTGTTGTGGATTTCATTGACTGGTGCCAAGTTTTTGTTTGACCGCCGCTAGCTTTTTTCCAGCCTGACCCTACATCCGCTAACATTGCTCGTCCAGGAAGGCGATGACCAGGCGTACGTAACACATGTCCTAACCACCTCAGTCTTTGTAACTTCACGACTTCGTCGATTGATTTCCCTGTTTACCTAGAACTCGATGCCTAACCTCAATATTGCTCACCTTATTATGCCACTTTACACGGGAAATAGAACGCAGGCACCTATGATCAAAGACAGCTAGTCTTTTCATGTCTTCCACTCTGATTGACCAGGTCTCACAACCATAAAGGAGGACGGAGCGGACTGATGAGCAATACACCCGCCCTTTGGTCGATAGTCGAACATCTCGTCTACGCCAGAGTCGGCGTAAACTGGCAAATGCGAAACGGGCCCCTGTATTCGTGCTGAGATTTCGTCAGAGATCAACACGTTGGCGTTGGCTGATGATACTTCCCAAATAAGTGAAGCGGTCAACGTGCTCTACCACTTCACTTCCTATTTTTAAACTAGGAGTCGATGTAGTTCAGTCCTGTAACATCATCTTGCATTTGGCGGGAGCGAATCGCATGCGAAATATACGTAGATTGTAGCTCAAGGTGTTTAGAAGACTCTGCAAACAACGTCAAGTCAGTTCTTCTATACGGATCAGAAACTTGGCGAGCGGGTCACAAACAATATTTCCAACAGCCTGTTGCGATGCAGACCTTTATCAACCAACAACTGTCTTCGCTGGATCTATACTGAAGATGAGATGGCCGGGCCGGAAAGAATCACCAACAAGAGACTATGGGAATAAACAAAACAAGAACCAATCGTCAAACAAATATCCAGGAGAAAGTGGAGATAGATTGAACACTGGCTGAGGAGGCGGCTGAGTGACGTCGCGCGAAGGGAAGCGGGTGACATGGAGCAGATCGTGTGAAGAGGAGTTGAAACAGTATGGACTAACATGGATACAGGTGAAAAGGACAGCAGAAGACAGAAGCAAGTGGAGACGTGCATCTGAAGCCCTATGTTCCACTAGGAACCCAAGGGAACAACAATGATATAAGTGTCCAACGGTCTACTATTGTGATAATATAATATACAAAAACAAGCAACCAGTAATTTAGGTCAATAGAGAAAAATACCCCTTGCCTTCTTTGGGAAGATAAGTTTGGCCCAAAATGCATACGAATATACACTTTTGCATGGACTGAGATGATATAATGTAGAGATGAGTAGGCTTCATTGGATTAATGGGACTGGAATGATGGTGTAAAATACAGCTCGCGACCAGCACTGATGTGATCTCAATTATCACAAGCTATATTTTAAAATGTATGACGCTTACAAGTCTGAAATTACCGCAAGGATAAGCAACGAGAGACTCCAAGAAACTATTGCCCAGCATATATACACCGAAGGAAATGGACTGGGCGAATACTGAAGAGACTGTTGTGCGACATCGTACGTCAGGCCGTCGAATGAAACCGAATGGGAAAAGATGATTTGGACGTCACAGGGGAAATGGAAGCCTATAGACATTCGTGGGGCTAGCAAAGACGGCTGCAAAGAACAGAATGAAATGTAGATTTGGTGGCGAAGCCCTATGCCCCACTCGGAACCCAAGGTAATAATAATAACAACAACAATAATTAGTTACAGGATTTCATCATGAGCTGACATTGGTTAGAGAACTATTGGAAAACCAGGTGGGAGTACTGGACAGCTGTTTCATCCTAGTTTATGACTCTTCATCAGTACGCACCCACCGCCACGGTTCGAACCCAGGACCCTCTGGTTACAAGCCGAGCTCGTGTACCATTAAGCCACTGGGACCCGACACAATGGTCCATGAATTCTAACTTTTGCCAATTCATGATCTATAATAATAATAAGAGTTACTGCAAAAACTGTTAATAAAATTTTAGCCAGTGGTGCCTAGCGCTGTATTATCTGGAGAAAAACCCGCACTTACGTTAGCATTCTTTCTTAACAAATGGACTTGTTGACGTTTAAGATGGTCTTCTAACTTTCGAAAATTAACAACTAACAGACCACATGTAGGACAGGCTGCACGTTTATTTTGAGTATGCGTATCCAAATGACCGGTAAGATTTTTTAAACGACGGGCTACATATGTACAATCCTCCCATAAACATTTCAATCCTACACCCTTCGGATAACGAGAATCATTATATTCCTGAAAGAAAAAGAGCAGAATATAAAAGATTAAAGTAATGGGATAAGTTGCGTGACTATTACTCAAATTATAGATTTTTTTTCCTATTTAATTTTAAGTGCAACTGAACTTTTTATCTGTTTTAAAATCACCACACGAACAAACAATTTTTAGAAATGACATACGTTAGAGAGATCAGTGAAAAACGAGGGAACACTGGACAGTCACTCTGTCGCATCTTGGGTCTCTTCATCAGTGGAAAGTCAAAACCAGTGGGGTCCACCATGTTAAGGTGAAGTGAATTCTCATCGAAGACACTGGTGAGACCTGCGCTATATCACAAGCTGACAAGGTGAGAATTCACGGATTACTGGATTCCAACCCAGGTGACTGAATGGCCAACGAGATACGTCCCGTAACCTGAAGGACCTAAGTGGTACATATATAGGGCTAGGGATGTTAGGAAATCGTTATTGAAAACTTAGCCTTATTAATATATGTATAAAAATTGGGCACTGTGGTAGTAAGTAATTCCATATTAGTTTGTTTATTAGATGTATCACACAATGACGTTTCGAACAAAATTTATTGCAGTTCATAATCATATCAATTGTAACCACATGACTTCCAAACTTGGGTTTTATAGTCTTTTTTGTTCCCTCCATTTTGTCGTAGGGGTAGTGGAATTTTCCAGATACCTTGGACAGGTACTGAATCATTCCTATTACACGTGTTTGCAGTTGATTCGATAAATAAAGCTTCTGTTATCAATCTCTCCCTCCACCCTGTGACATTAGATTTCAAAACTGTCATCCTACAGTATGGTTGTGTGTAGGATGACAGTTTTGAAATCTAATGTCACAGGGTGGAGGGAGAGATTGATAACAGAAGCTTTATTTATCGAATCAACTGCAAACACGTGTAATAGGAATGATTCAACACCTCTCCACACAGATATCTGGAAAATTCTACTACCCCAGCGACAAACAGGAGGGAACAAAGTTGTGTGATTACAATTGATATGATTATGAACCGCAATAAATTTAGTTCGAAAAGTCATCCAGTAAATAATACTGTTCCACTGTGAGATGCATCTAATAAACAAACCAATATGGAATTACAAAACTTAGTCTGCTTTTGATTGTTCCTCTACTTTTATACCCCTACTTATACTTGTACCAAAAATACGGTATGGAATCAAGCTGTAATCAAAAAATAAAAAAAAAATTACACACAACAGTGAAGTGTAGTGCAGAGCTTCAAATTGATATGTCGACTTTCATAATGCTACGTACGATAGATCAAAATGACACTATAAAGTAGGTCTCAGTAATCATACAAAGAATGAGAAACAATGTCTGTCCTTTGAAAAAAAAACGTAAATTTACCTCTGAATGCTTTGAAACATGATCAATAAATATGGAAACATCGTTGGTTTTAAAATCACAGTACTCCCAACCACACTCAAATTTAGTTGGAAGTTCAGGTATTGAATTACATGACTTTGAATCACACATACAAGATGGCCAATCATTAATTGACGAGGAATGCTTTCCAACCACTTTCAGATGATTGACCCAAGAATGAAAATACGAGTGCCTTTCAATCTCATCCGGATCAGATACATTTATAGGAGAATCACATATTCCACAGATAGGATGGCATATACACTGTGACACTTGTTCACATAATACCTACACAGGAAATATAAAATATATATGTATATAATATCATACATCTCATCTAAATTTCCGGAGATTTTGGAAAATCTAAAAGTAGGAAAAGTTAATGGCGACTGTTTAAGGTAGTGTAAAGGTGAAGCATATTATCATTCCTTAAGGCTTTTACAATCGACGTAGTGACCACAACCAGAAGGTTGACATAAGAGATTGTTTAAAAAAAATAGTGAACTAGGCTATTCTTACAAGTAGATGGAATAGCTACGGGTTCACCATTAGGCCCAATGTTAGCTGACCTCTTTCTCGCAAAACTTGAAAACGGAAAATTGAAAGACATCATCAAGGAGTTTGACATGATTTTATTCCAGAGCCTTTCCACGAGTATACGGAGAACGTTTTACGCAGCATACCTATGTTTGTCATTCTCTAGCCGACGAATGATTGGGACACAAACGAAGGATAAGCTAGATAGTTTTGCCACATCAATTCAACTGCAGCTACGGTGACGTTGGGCGTACTACTAGACAGCTTAGCAAACGTGTCACTACTAAGCATCTCACATCGTGGTTTGGCAAAGGACAGACAAAAACAATCCGCAGCTCAATTTTGTCACATTTAATTGATAGCGGTCATATTGTGGAGAAAACGAGAGCTTTCAAGGTAATTCATCGTATCCCACCGAATCTCTCAAATACACTTCGTATCCGTCTACTGCACACAGCTGAGGCGATAGGCATTCGAACTATTATGCTCCTAAACTATGCATTCAAAAGAAGTTCGTACGACCATTATCCTCCCTTGTTGGCCTATTAAGACATAACCAACTAATGACTTCTACACCACCCCTTATTTATATTTTCAACCCCTCTCTTATCACCCCTTAATCTTATCACATCTTCATTAAAAACGTGTTTCATTTACTTCTCTTGCAATCTAGCATTACTCAATCGGTTCATTTGTTTTTATTAGCCTTTATCGGCTACGACGTCTACCTGAACATTTGTTTGTTTAATCATGCTGTTTTTCATTATTCGTGTTATCACGGATTGCCTCACTTTTTCATCCTTATTATTGATAAAACCATTATTATTATCGTCATTATTATTATTATGACTAACTGCACAATTTATATTACCATCTTATTATCCTATAGACAAAACACCATGATTGGTTTATATTTGAATTTTTATTGTAAGTTATGTATGTGTATTAGAGTTAAGCCTGATGAGATGTAATTGAAAGCACAATATTTTTCGCTTAAATGTGTTCTAAATTTTACTATGGGAATATTTAATATATTGGAATTAGGTTATAATTAGTCTAAGAATAACAATTAAGAATGAATTCATTTGTTTTACTTTTGACGATTCTTTTATTTTACAATATCCGCTAAGAACTAATGGCTGGAGACAATTAGTGATATGACTCAAAATTTTTTTTGATTACAGCTTGATTCCACACTGTATTTTTGGTACAAGCATGGAATTTTCAGCATGTGATATCGGTAGCCCAAATCTTGCAGGCTGACCATAGATATCAGGTGTGCGTCGGAAGCGAATCGAACCTCGGACCATGTGTATGGTCGGCGAGAGTCCTAACCACTGTGCCACCGATGCACACCTGATATCTATGGTCGGCCTGCAAGATTTGGGCTACCGATATCACATGCTGAAAATTCCATACTTGTACCAAAATACGGTGTGGAATCAAGCTGTAATCAAAAATAAAAAATATAATTGTTCACAGTATTGAAGATGAATTTATTCTCTGTGATTTGCCATATCTAAAAGGATTTATTGTTTTTCTCTGTTACTGTTTTCTTTCTCTCTCTCTCTCTTTCCCACACATTTCTGCTTACTATAGTTCTTTCCAATCTCTTTTTTGTCTTCCTTTGTGTGCAGAGTTCTGTGTTGAAATCAGTCACTCAGTGAGTCAATATCCACTAACTTAAACTTACAGTCTGTTATTTAAAAGACCCTTATCCAAAACGAAGCAATCGTGCCTCTTGCACAATTCGAGATATGTCTCATTTTTTGAAGGACTGGATTTTTAACCAGTCGGTTTCAGGTTCAAACATCTTTTAACATGTTTCAGATTGAGAAATTGAGGTGTTGAGAACTCCCATATGCCTAATAATTTTAGCCGAATAAACGAAAATGAGTATTGAATCAGTGAGTCTTTAGGGTAATTTGAAAAATTTTAAGTTGTCAAGCCATAAGGGAATTGTAACGTGCATCGATATTAACGTGCTCTTCACAAACTGCTGAAACGTCAGTAACCTGACAATACATACCATCTGGGTGAGGTAGTATCAAAAGTGGGCTTTGCAACTAGAATGTAATCGAAAATAAGAATGATGGAAGATGTTGAGTCCGCTGATTACGAAAAAATAATATGCGCTTTAACTATCCACATTTGAATAAAAGAACACGGGTATACACCTATGATTGAAAAGTCATCTAACTGGATGAAAATATGCGTTTAGCTAATTTGGAAATGCCGTATGTAGACATTATCATGTTAAAAAAATCAACCTATATATCACGGTCGGAGAAATTTTTCGTGAACATAGAGTTGGTGGAAATGTGGGCAATTCCCCTTTCACAATTGGGTAAAGTGGGCTACTTTTAGAAATAACATGGATAATTTGGGGAAAAGTGGCGTTTCAGGCCAAGGGCATGAGCGAAAATGGGTAAAAAGCGGGTAGGAACATGGGTGAAATGGGTATTTTGTTTTAGACTTTACCCATATCCCAAAAGATCAAAATTATCAGTTCTCACATATTCCTCACTTTACCCGTGTGCATTCTCCGACTGAGACTGTAGAAGGGTAAATATGAAAGTGAAAATGGCAAATAATTGCACACAGAGAGCTATGACGTTTTGCACTCAACATACAGTTTAAAAAGAAATTAAAAACTAACACTATACATAGTTATGGTTAGAAACACTAGTTGATAACATCCATAGATGATTGATACCTGTGTTGAACCATCTACCTGTATCTTTTTTCAAAAGTAATTACTAAGTTAGTTCAAAATGATTACGATACTAAACTAAGGAATATCAAGTAGCAAGACTTACTTCGAAGTGTTGTAGCTGGTGACGTTTGAGTGAATTTTTGTCATCAAAGGAGCTGGAGCAGTCTTTCCATTCACAACAGTATGAAAGTTTTGATTTGGCAACTAGAGACTTTCTACCTCTCTGCATCTTTATGCTGCATCATTAACTAAAAAGCAATTGTCTTTAAAGACCGAAGTAGAAAAATCCTCATCTAATATCAATCTAAAAAGAAGTCAGAATTTAGTACTCATGTGTTACACTGTTTAATGAGTTAAATAAGCCATACATCTTTTTGTGATGATCACATGAAGACCATCTTGGCTAACACAGCATATAAGATTCTAAATCCCACAGACTTGCGAAGACTGAGTAGGTCAGGGGGATTTAGGACCAGATGGTGTATTTGCGCAAGACGTCAAGATACAAACGGAGTATTGCTAATCATTATGGACCGTATAGAAAGAGTACATAAACTTTTGAGCAAAGTAAAGAACCCAAACGTCCTACAACAAGCACTATGATTTCACAACTGTCGACACTTGAAATCCCGAAAGAATCAAGAGTGGCGGATAGACTGTGACACCTCTACAGTAGAGTTCGAAAACAAACTATCCATTCTAGAGTTCCATACGAGTATTGCCAAACAGCTGAGCGCTCTAATGAGTTCTGATATACTAACCCCTGTACATCAAATAAGAGATGTCATATTCGCTCCGGCACAGTGCTGTTTCCATGGTCTTTCATCACTAGTGAGTCCGTAGAAAAAAATCTTGATTTCTAGTCTCGCCACATGTAGGTTTGCAATCTTCATTGTACTCTACATGTATCGTGTACAAATTCTTTTACACTGTAGAAAGGATGGATAGCACAATACCTAGTGTTCATTTAACAATAGCCGTGAAAATCTGCAACCATGTAGTCAAGGACAGAGACCATCTATTGTATGTGCAAACCAACCAATTTTACTATTTGCATGAAAGTAAAAAGAAGCTTAAGCACACAGAATAAAATGTTGCTAGTTAGCTTTCTCCTATTATAATGTCACGGGTTCTTATCAGCTGATAAGCGCTAGCTGTAAAGCAACCGATTTCTCCCTCCTCATAACTACAGATACTGCCAAAAATCAAATAACCACTTTCTCAAAGAATTAACACGTAAAATATATTAGGGAGGTGCGACAATTTTCCCTAAAATATGCCCCAAACTCCCGAAAAAAGTTTTGCTAATTTCCCGGGGAATTAGCCACTTATCACACATATGGCAGTCTGAGAAATATCTCATTTCACGGGTTAATAGTGCCTAGCCAAGAAAAGTGCTGTATTAGCCATTCAATTAGACGAAATTTAATCTTAGCCATAAATGGGTATACGTTATAACGTATATTTAATTGTTTTCGCTTGTTATAATCAAAGGTAGTTGGCGGTTGACAGCTTCTAATGTTATTAGGCTGTCAAGATATATTGTGGTAGTCTAGTTAAAAATTTTATATTCATAATTAGGCAAGTAAAACCTAGTCATCAATTATTCTTGTAAAATATTTGAAAAAATGAATCTACCTCCGTTCCGCAACATTTGAATCTGCGGCATAACAGAAACTACAATTTCGAATGATGGCATTCACTTGTTATATAGTGCTCTACTTTACATTGAAATGGGCTTTGTGGATATGGTCAGGCATTCGAAGTCTTCATAAAATGATGCTACACCGAAAAGGCGGCTTTTACATGAAGAAGACTATTCGAGTATATTATAGTGCCCTCCAGTCATTCCATTCTGCTTGTCGCTCCTTGAATTCGAGACAACACATTAGCCTTGAATTATGCGTATCTTTCTGAACAGGAGGTTATCGTCACTGAGTTGGCTTATTAAGCTATCCGATACATGAAATGACTCTGTGAATTTCACACTACTGTGAATAGCCGGGTATCCCGAAAATCTGCATTCAGGTATACTCTTGGAACTGAATCATTCTTCATAGGTGTTACCCTGGGTTTGTTTTACTAAAATTCGAAAAACTACGCCACCTTGCAGAACCGTCTTAGTTTAAACAGTAGCCAATTGTCCATCAGAATAAACGTACGGCTCTACAACCTTGTGGTCTTTCATCAACTCTAACATGTAGGTAGTGGAATGATGACATGCTAATCTCAAGCTGCTGAGCCAATTCTTCCAAAAAATGCTTTTTATCTGGTGTATCTCCTTTCACTGTTTGCCTCTTGTTTTTGGGGAGAAGGCAATGTGCCACCAGTCACAGTAGGTAAGCCGACGAAGATAACGCAGACATGGTCTCCCTGTATGATTTGTTTACTAATATTACTCATACTAGGTCCGAAGGTATCACAGATGGTAATAATGGTTTATATTTCTTATAAATATGCGATCAGCCAGCAACATTTCAATTCACAAGTCTCGCACTTTGCTTGCCCTATCTTCTGGAGCTCTATACTTTATCATTAATGCTGTTCACAACCAATTTAACTATATGAGAGCTGGTCTTATCGAAAACAAGACTACACTTGGTGCAAAGTTAACTGTTAATAAATACACACTAAATATTCATTCATAGATAAACAGCTGTTGATTCTATATTTTGACATTCTGACATGTGAGCCATCATTCGCTCACAAAAGCGTCAAATAGATACTATTACCTCGCCGGTAGTTTACTGCGCAGGAAGATTTCACTCATATGCGTAAAGATACCTATTATAGTTCTACTAAATCTTGTTTATTTACCAGATAATGATCATGTGGGGTCATTCGTGGGTAAACTGCCGTACTTTTCACAGCAATGGAGTACTATAGACATTTAACGTGGCTTTTCAGATTGAATACTGTGTGATGACGCAGATACTACCCAACCTCAAGTTAATAATAGCCTTTAATTCTTCCTGCTTGACCTCTCAGTATTTGTGTCTCAAGTGTGCCGTTGTAATTAAATCAGAAGTCTTGACGTTTGATAAACCACTTTCCTAGATTCATTATGCGCTCGGTAGAAACGTCATGATAAAAATCCCGCCGTCCCCTTTTAAACTCTTGGGACTGGCTTTTTGTAACATACTCATTTTTGTAGGCACATGAGCCTTCGAATAACCTAGCAGCTTTCTCATTTTTACTCACTCGTAAATTTCTCAAGTCACTGTCGTAATGAAGCGGTTTGCCGTTAATATTAATTTTCATCCCTGCTCTTGACGAGGAAGGATACGCATACTTCCGCTGTGGGCGTCTTTGAAGTTCAGCCAAGTGGTGCCTTCTTGTCATACACGTATTTGCGATCTCATATCTTTCTCCTGTGATTTCGTAGGCTTCTGGTCTGTTGCATTTGACAAGCAATTTTAGTTAGCCTTGCCGAAGCGTAAAATCTTTATATCACGCCATTGATATTAGTTGATAGCCAGCCCGAGGTTAGGTATAACGACCCCATCAAATTTCTGGGTATATACATTTCTTGCCAGTGCAGTCACTCGAGCCTACGAGAATCCTACTCAAAATGACACTCATTTGCAGGACGGTGTATCGGTATCAACAGCTGCCGGACCTTTACTATGAAGCCCTCTGAGTAGTTCAACGTTAGCGTGATATCAAACATACTATCTAGTGACACATACGCATCAACAAAATAGTGCAGTTTTCCGTGCTGTGACAAGTAGCAGATTATAAATTTATTGTGTGAACTATATGAGCCTGAAAAGCTCTAACAGTGTTAAGAGGGATCGCACGATCCATACTCTTCCTCAACAGTCAGTGTAACCCCTATAAATTGCTAGTACTATTCACATTGCTTTTTTCGCAGCTGAGTTTTATTTATCCCCAATACAAGCAAATAAAACACAACCACTTCTGTTCCTCAGAATCTTTCCACTTGAGAATAGGACATCAATGAAGTGAGCTTCACTACCATGAATTAAGAATACTTCTGAACTCGCAGTACTTTGCTTTTTCTAAAATCTTAAACTCCGTTTCCTCCACCCATTTATCTCTCAGTTTCAAGAGTGAGATGTGAAATGTTGGTAAACTTACTGAATGTATAGTATATATCAACTTTGAGGAGCTTCAGAGTTAATACGTTTATGTTCTAAATTTCTTTTTTCTAGGTGGATGTTGCTTTTAACTCATTTTCCCTGCATAAGGGTATTTTGACGCCTAGGGACTGCCCCAAAGAGAAAATTCCAGTTTCGTTCGTTTGTGCAGTCCAAAGGCATTATAGTGTTCTCATGGGTCACCATCTCATATCAAGGCAACTATCCAGAACTCAGAGGACTTCATCTGCCTTGGTTTAAATAGTATTAAACACCAGATAGATGACTCAAAAATTACTACTCGGTGTGACAAAGTTTGTTCCTCTAGGAACCCAAGGGAACAATAATAATAATGACAAAGTTTACTGTGTAGATCAAGAATGATCATTTTGTTTCACAGTTGATCACGATAAAGCTTGGAAATAAACGGCAAAATAATATGAATTATTCCCCACGACTTCATTGTTTTCATCCTCTGTCGACCAGCAAACCGAAAGTTCATGACAAGAATTTTCCATCCCCATTAATTATGAATCTGATGCGAATATATCAGTTCAGTTGTCACGAACATCGATGTGTCACACTATCTAAATAGGTGGCATCAGGCATTCTGACTTATTCACTTTTACGATGGTCATTTCTTCTGTGTTTCTTAACTGAAATTTTTGAAATCGCTTTATATACGATGTTCGTTACCGCATTTCATAGCCTGCATTCTAAGAGGACCTTCTCCATGTCGTCCTAAGAGACAAACGCAACATGACGGCACGTCATATGACGGCGCTTGGAAATTGGCCCAGAGTATGTCCAGTTAATGTAAACTCCTTCTGCATACTTGTTGGGCGATTGGTTCTTAGTTGGTTGTGTGCCTACCATAGTTTCTTGTTGTTAGCGCTTTCTAACTGATCATCTGATCTTCAACCACGAAAGAAGGCATGTGATAAAGAAAACGTGTTTTAGATTTTTGGCAGTGCTCTTGTTATGCCAATTCCAAGTGTCTAAACCATATAGAAGCACCGACTTGACACCAATGTCGAAAATTCGGATTTAATTCCCTATTCTAAGTTTCATGGGTCCACATGCTAGGCTCAGAGTAATGAATACGTGTCTTACTTTCTCGGTAGTGACT